CCTAAATATTAGAAAATAACTAAAAGTCCTAAATATTAGGAAAATAATTATATAACTATTGTCCTAAATATTAGAGAAATAATTAAATGACTATTTTGCCCAATGTGAAATAAATTTTTAAAGGGTAAAAAAGACGAACGATATTTCACTACGGACCTTCGTGCTTTTAATATAATATAGATATTAGTTACACATAATTTTCCTTCCCCCACAAAACCAATAATATAGACGCATTATTTAAGTTTTTTGTAAGTAACAAAACAAAAGAACTATTAAATAAATTACTTATCGTGCTTTTATTTTATTTGTTCCTTTTCTTGGTAGTAATACTTATCGTGCTTAATCTCTTTTGGTTGTAACCTAACATACCTGCATATATCTTCGACCATTCTGCCTTAAGCAGCTTCCAGCTGTTTTCTTCTGTTAAAGGCCTCTTTTTATACATGTAAGCTGCCGGAATCAGGTCCACCACTTCTCTTGCTCGAGTTGTAATCACTATGCTGCTGCGCTTAGCTCCCATAGCCTTACGCAGTCTCTCCCAATCCTCAATTGAGCTGACGTCTTCCAGAAGAACTAAGCTCCTAGAATTTTCTAAATGCTGGCGCACACGTTCTATCAAATTTTCTGTTTGCAAATGGTCAAACTTCATTTTAGGATCCTCAAAAGATGCGAGGACGAGGTAAAGAGCAGATCTGAAATCAAAGTTTTCAGATACAGGGATCTGGATGATCTTGTCGAACTCTTCAACAACGCGGGGGTCATCGTATATTGCACGAGCAAGAGTTCTCTTTCCTGTGCCTCTGAAACCCCATATTAGAATGGCTTGGAAGCTGTTTGATGTATCCAACAAAGCTTTTAAAATCTGCTCCTTCTCTTCCTCCAACCCAAAGGGTTTTCCGACGACGATTGATTGTCGTTGACAGCGGTTGTCCTGGCTAATTCTGCTTTCAGGGTTGTCTTCTGAGACCCCGCGCTGCAAGACAACCATCGAAGAAAGACGTTTGATCTTGGTACACAATCTTGTAACCTCTGAGTTGTCCGGTATCTGGATAGCGTCACGATGTCTGCTAGAGAGAATATTGAAGCCCAATAAACACATTCTAGACGATGATTTCCCAGACTTGGATGTTGCAGAATTTTCTATTTCATCCTCGATGCGATAAACTAGGGCTACAACTTCCCTCACTCTGTCACTGGGCAGCTGAATCTCTGTTGTTATCTTCTGTTGCAAATCCTCCAGATATTGAATTAACTTTCTGATTTCGTTGTAAGCTGTTGTTTCTTCAGCCAAAGTTAACTGTTTTAGCTTTTTGATTGCCAGGAGAAGGACTACTTTCGCCATTTCCTGGGTTAAAAGTATTCATTAAAGATCTGCTTCTTCATGATATCAATCTAAGCTTGCATTAAAATCAACCTTCCCGCCCCTCGTCGTGCCCCCAGCCAGTAGAGGAGCAAGGATTTTCAGTTTATCAAAATTTAAAGGAGTAAATAAGTAAGTATTTAACACATAATATATACATAAAAAATAGTTTTTACCTATTTAAAATTTGTAATTTTCCTGTGAAAGGATTTCAATTAATTAACACCCCTAGCTATGTGGCTCCGCCACTACCCAGCCCAACGCCTCAAAAGAAAAACGAAAAGTTGAAATACAATTTCACTTAGAATAATTACTCAACTGCTTAGAGAAATCTTCGCTTTGGCCTTGGCTGTGAAATATGATAGTGGATTGAGGTCTTGTAGCTAGCTGGTATAGATTGTGGGTTGTAGCAAAAAGCAAGATCTATTTCTACTATCTCACTGATCTGCCTCACGTTGATTTTTTTACGAGACGAGACACAAGCTTCTGTCAACGCTCATTAAATATATGGGTTAATTATTCTAAGCATCCCTGTAATATAACTCAATTTCGGATATATTCCCTGTATTTCAAAATCAAATACTCACACCTCCGATACTATAAAAATTTTATACTTACCCCCTTATGAGGTATATCCTATATTAAAATATGCTCTGTCCGTTTCAATTTATATAAAGTAGTTTGACTCGGCACACAGTTTAAGAATTTTTTTTTTTTGAAACTTGTGATCTTAAAAGCTTGAGGGGTAAAAGCTTTGTGGAACCATAACATTTTTATGGTTATAAAAATATTTCATTAAGGGTAAAATGGGTAGAATGAAGAGTTTAAAGCTGAATTATTTTCAATTGTAGAAATGTGTCATTCTTTTTAGAACAAACTAATAAGGAAAGTGTGTCATCTAAATTAAAACAAAGGGAGTAATGTTTACCATGTGACCGATTACCCTTACCAGCAACCTCCTTAGTCAGAACTTGTCATACCGGACTTGCATAGTACGGTTTACATCTCCTGTGATTCACGAGTTCTTGCACACTAAGCAGATTACCTCACCCGAAAGGCCGAAGGGTCTTTGGGAAGTTTCCAAAAATAATTATATAAATATTACAAGATAAATAAAAACTGTATAATAAAAAGGTTTTATGTGTTTATTTTTTATGAATTTTAAAAAGAATATAAATATTCTTGTTGAAATTTTTTATTCACAGATTTGATTAAAATGGAAATATTTTTTTGTTAAAATATTTATCTTTTGTTAAATTAGGAATGAACACAAATTACTTTAAGAGATGACTAGAATGTTTTCATATTTATTTTTAATTTTTTAAATATAATATTTCTATCCCTATTTTTCTTTTTTTTAAAATTAAACCTATTATATAATTAAAATAAATTTAAGATAATTTAAAGTGAAAGAATAAATAAATAAACTAAAATAAAAATGAGAAAATCTTTTTTCTTATAATTGTATTTATCTTTTAATAATTATGTTTTAAAATACTTAGTTATAGATATGATGCATAGGCGGGGTGAAGCGGATAAAGTGTATGATTTTGAAATGTATCTAAAACTAGGGCCGCTTAACGGGCGGATCGGACGGTTAGTTATTCTTAACGGTTTGGCTTATCGGTTATCGGTTTTTAAATGTATTAATCCGCTAGCCACCCAATAAGATATCGGGAGGATTAGTATCGATTTAGCTATTATCAGGCAGTTATCGATTTAGTTTCAGTTGATTAAAATGATGACATTCTTTAGTGCCTTATAATGATGACAAACATTATAAATGCCTTTTTTGTAACATATGAATTGTATTCAACTATGATGCTTAGCTTATGGCAATGGTTGATATTAGCAGTATTAACCTAAGAGATGTCACTGCTGGTTGTGGTTGAAGCTATTGTTGCTCTGTAAATTTCGTTGTAACTGGCTTGTGTCCTTTCGGCTGCTACTCTTCCGGATTTTGCTAAGAAAAGTTGACACGAAACTAGTTAGAAGTTGCAGTGTCTCCTAGCTTTGCTTTGGCTATATAGTAAACTGTTTAAAGTTAAAGTTTTGTAACAAAATATGAATGATTCTAGAAGATGGTAATCTTTCTGGAAAATATATATATATTCTTAACGGGTTAACGGATTATCCGTTAAGAAAATTGAATAATCCTTCCCCAAACCGAAAAGCCGTTAATAAAAAAATTTCAATTCGTTTCACGTCTGTTAAACCGTTAACCCGATATCAATAAGCCATTAAGTTTCGGTTTCGGTTCGATTTTCGGTTTCGGTTTGATTTTGAACACCCCTATCTGAAACTGATATGAGGGTGTTTAATGTAATTAAACCTACAAATATTTACATTTTGCCTGTTAATCCATTTGAAATTTCAAACACTAAGGACCTTGGATCGGGGATGTTCAAGAGAAACCCAAAAGCAGCAAGTTGGACCAAAACCAATTTAATAAATTAATTTTTTAATGTTAAATTTTTAAAAAGTAATATTTGACTTAACTATGTAATACGTGAAAGATGAATGGTATGACGCTGGGTACTTTTGTAATACCATTAGTTCTTAGGGGCATTTTGGTACTTGACGTTCAATTTTTTTATTTCCCTTCTTGTTAACTCTCGTGGCAACAACAACAATTTTCATCAAGGGGTGTCAAAATATATAAAACTAGATACATCGAAAAATTAAAGTGAGTCAACATATAGTAAATATACGTAAAACAAAAAGAATTATCTAGCAATGCAGTGTAGCTTTTCGGCGAAGGGGTCCTCTTGGTTGAATGTGACTCTGCCACTGCATTCCTAAAATAAAAAAGGGAAAATGTGAAAAAATTTCTATATATCTGATTGAATTCTTTCTGTACAAGCAATATATATTTATACAAGTATATTCCTAGTAAAAGAAAACTGGAATGAAAAATGAAAATAAATGAATCTTATAGTATATGTACACTTGTCATGTTTGTACTAGACTAATTATTACAAAATAACCAACTAATATTCATGTCCTATCTCTCATGTGTGTGAACCTTCTTTCATGTGTGAGAAGGTTCCAGATTTATGTTATTATTTATACGGTCCAGATTTAATCCATCATGACAAATTTAGACTTTAGGATGATGCCATCTTTCCCTTCAAATTTGAGACCACATGACTTAGCCCACTTTGTTTTGTCCGAACTTATTCTTTCTTCTTTGACTTTCAAACCTTTCTTCTTCTCTTCTTCTCTGCTTTGTGAGCACCCATGGTGAGATTGATTTCCAACATCCCCCTCAAGATGGAGGGGAACGACGAGATCCCCAACTTGCAAAGAATCGAACGATGGGAAGGCCCTGACAACGGCTTGGTAATTAGATCGGCAAGCTGAGATTTTGACGGCACAAAGGAGAGGGAAATTAGGCCGGAAAGAAATTATTGTCGAACAAAATGGAAGTCTAGCTCCACATGTTTGGTGCGCTCATGAAACATGTGGTTTCGTGCATTATGAATGGTAGATTGACTATCGGAGAGAACAAGAACCGGCAATAAAGGTGGTACGGAAAGATCGTCAAGGAGACGAGTGAGCCATGTTAATTCGGTGACAACCTTGTGCATTGAACGATACTCCGCCTCAGCGGAGGACAAGGACAAGAGGCTTGTTTCTTTGACTTCCAAGAAATAGAAAACCACCAAGTGTGATATAGAAGCCATTAACAGACCGTTTGGTTTCTGGGCATTAACAGACCAAGTGTGATATACAAGCCATTAACTTGGATTTCTTGTATAAGCAATCTTGACTTATTAGAGCTTATCACCTGCATTGCTTCAACAAAATACTCTGGTTCTCCAGTATCAGTCAGAAGTAAATAATGGAGAGAGAGTTAACCTATCTAGAGCATTCAAGACTCTTTCATATCTCCTTAATGTAGGTTCAGGATTAACTGATCCCGAATTTGATTCAAGTCCCGACTCCAGATCTAGTTCTCCATCTAATTCTATCTCTGGTTCTGGTTCTAATTCTGATCTAGATTCGGCTTCTGGTTCGGCATCTTCAATTTCAGATCCAGTTGTAGGCTCTCTAGCCACTTCATTTTCTGAGATTTCTTCTAACTCAACTGTTTCAGATGTATGTCTGCTGGTTCTGGTTGGTTCTACTTCAAGCTTGTCTTTGTACATCACATTTTCATTTAATATGACATTTCTGTGTCTTAGGATCTTTCTATTCTGATCATCCCAAAATCGATAACCAAAATTATCATCACCATAGCCAATAAAGAAATATTTCTTGGCTTTAGGATCAAGCTTATCTCTATCATTAGAGTTTACATGCACATAAGCAACACAACCAAAAATTTCAGATGTGAGAGAGTTACCTCCTTTCCTGTCCATACCTCCTCAGAAATTTCAAAATTCAGCGGTACAGAGGGTCCCTTGTTTATGAGGTAAGTTGCCGTATTAACAGCCTCAGCCCAAAAATAGTTTGGCAATCCAAAATGTATTCTCATAGTCCTGGCTCGTTCATTCAGGGTTTTGTTCATCCTCTCAGCAACGCCATTTTGTTCATGTGTTCCAGGAGCTGTCTTGATCATTCTGATCCCATTCTCAGAGCAGAATACTTTAAACACTTGACTATTATACTCTATTCCATTGTCAGACTTCAGACATTTTAACTTTAGAATTGTCTGATTTTCAACTTCAACTTTCCATCTTTTAAAGGTAACAAACACATCAGATTTATTTTCCAGAAAATAAACCCATACCTTTCTTGTGGAATCATCAATGTAGGTGACATAATAGCGTGAGCCTCCCAGAGAAGTTACAGGAGCTGGTCTCCGCACTTCTGTATGCACTAGTTCCAGTTTTTCTTTCTTTGGTGTCCTTCCCACCTTTGAGAAACTAACTCTCTTTTGTTTCCCATAAATGCAATCTTCGCACAAACCTAATTCAACATTATTTAGGTTTGGCAACTTTTCTTTGGATGCCAACAACTTCATTCCCTTATCACTCATATACATGAGCCTTCGGTGCCACAATGTTGTATCACGACCATGATCAACTATTGCTATAGTATCTCTCTGTATTGCAGTTACATACAGTATTCCCTTCTTGAAGCCTCGTGCCATAACCAAATTTCCTTTGGTTATCTTCCACGATCCGTTACCGAATATTGTTGTATATCCTTCACTGTCAATCTCACCCATAGATATAAGATTTTTCTTGAGGCCAGGAACATGTCGGACATTTTGCAATTTCCACAACGTGCCTTGTGAAGTCTTTATATGAACTTCACCTTTCCCAACAATGTCCAGAGGTTCGTCGTCTGCTAGATAAACTTTCCTGAATTTTCCAACAATATAATTATGCAATAATTCTTTGCATGATGTAGAGTGAAATGATGCACCTGATTCCAAAATCCAAGATTTGACTGGACTGTCTGCCCAACAAATTAGTGCATCACCCAATTGTTCAGCAATTGCATTTGCTGAATTATCATCCTTGTATTGATCGTTCTTCTTCTTCTTCTTCTTC